TGAACCGTGGTCCCTGATGCCTTGCCAAGCTTGTTCTAAGTAGGTGCTTTAGACCACTGAGCCATCTCTCCAGCCCCGAGAAAGATGTTTGAAAGCAGTACATTTTTATATTAAAATGGGTGTAGCTCTCCACAGTGGGACACACCTGTAATCCCAACATTGTGGGAGGCTGAGACTGGAGGACTGCAAGTTTAACCCAGTCTGCGCAATTTAGTGAGATCCTATCTCAAGGTAAGGAATAAAAAAGGGCCAAGGATGCAGCTCAGTGTGAAGGCTCTGGGTTCAACCCTGTGTACCACACACACATATCCACACTACCCACACACACAGAGAGGGGAGGTGACGTGGGAGAAGCCAGAGGAAGGTGTTTCAACAGCAGCATCCTTGCCCTTTGGGCCAGGTGATTCTTGGGTGTGGTGTCTGTCCTGTGCATTGTGGGACATACAGCAAACTCACTGGTCTCTTACCCACTACACGCCAGCAGCAACCCCTCTGTAGTCATGTTGACAAATGTGGTGTTTTTCAGATTACTGCCAAATATCCCCGGGGATAAAACTGTCCTTGGTGAGAACTACTGGGATAGAAGTGAGCTACAGAAACAGAGTGAGAACAGGATGTAATTTGAATGGACAGGGAAGGCGACAAAGGGGAATGAAATCCAGGCAACACTGCAGTCTTCGTTTGTGGTCCCAGTGGCATTCCATGGAGCTTCCCTAAGTTTTAGTGTAGGCTCAGTGGTCATAGCTACATCCACCAGCTCAGATTTCCCCAGTTAGCTGACCAGGTGGCAGACATTCACGGCACCATTCCTGCCTGGCAGTTGGCAAGCACTCGTGGTGGGAGAGAATAAAGATGGATTCCACTCACACGAGATGCCGAGAACAGAGAAATGCAGAGATCAGAAGCAGCATGGTGGTGGGCAGGAGCTGCGAAAAGTGGAGGATGGGACATTAATGTTTAATGAGTTTTGTGAGATGGGAGAGTTCTGGGGATGGATGGTGGTAACATTTGTGCCATCACATGAATGTATTCAATGCCACCCAACTGTACGCCTAAAAATGGTTAAAAATGACTAACTTTATAAAGTGCATTTTATCATAATTAATTTTCAAAAACAGACCAAAAGGAAAGCATTACTCAAAATTAAGGCAACCTTTATTTTCTTTCCTGGTAATCATATCATCTAAGGTATAAGTGGTGTTATTTGGTATGACACCATTTCTCATGAGGGCTTTTGCAGTTGGACCTTCATTCAGAAATGCATCATGTTAGACTCGCATTTAGGCACAAATGTGAGAGACCCTCCTCTGGCACAGCATTCCACTCATGATAAATTGCATTTTTCCGTCATCAAGCCTGGCTCAAACTCAGTCGCTGTTTAGGGGCAGGCAGGGCAGTGTGGCAGCTACCATGAAGGTCACCTATTGCACCACAGCCATGAGAAGTGAGAGGCACACAGCAGGCTCCTGGTTCTCTCAGGCCACGTTCTGCACGATGACTGCGATGCCTTGGCCGCCTCCGATGCAAGCTGAACCAACAGCGTATTTTCCACCTCGACGCCTGAGAAAGCAAGCAGTGGCTGAAATCTACTCTGATAATTAATAAAATGAATTCATATCAATCACATTTGCATCATTCATTCTTGTTCAGCTCAGCTTCTCAGTCTTGCCCATAATCCTAAATTTTGGTATTAGGTCACAAAGCCTACATATTTTTATTCAAGAAAGAAAAAAAAAATAGAAGGAGGCAATCTAAGCAGAGGACGGGTAGGTTTAGGACTAGAGAAGCTGAAATAAATATACAAGCTTGTGTGTGCTATGGCAAAAGAGTGAAAACAGGAGATAATTTAGATAAGGAAATTCAAAAAAGGAGAAAGGAATGTTCAGCTTCTTTGATATGCTTTTAGATTTTTATGGCACTTTACAATGGAAATAATCAATCAGGTTTACCCGTATGACAGCAGATAGCTTAGAAAGAGTTCATGTCTGTTTCATAAAAATTAGACTCATAGAGAAGCATCTGTCCCCACTCCTCAGTCCTCACATGGTGAGAATATCATCCAGGGATTATTTTCATGCATGTCAACTGCTCATTTCAACCCAGTGAATCAAGTGAGCAAAACAAGTCCCATTTTCTCTAGCCTAGCATATTTGGTTTTGTTTGCAATTTTTCTGCTAGTAGAGAAAATGTGCTAAAATACACAAGGCCAGAAGGAGGAGCTCTTCTATTGAAACTAGAATATGCAGAAGGCTCTCCATGACACAGTGAAGGGATAATCTTGGAGCCAAACTGTCAGTTTGCTTAGGTTCCTTAAGAGAAGAACTCCACATCAGCAGCTACACGGTACTTTCATTTGTTCATTTTTCTACTTAAATTCATCTTACTACTACACCGGGCACTAAAGTTAAGTTGCCATGAGAACCAGGGCCTCACTGTGTGATGGCGGCCGCAGCTCTCACAGAGTAGAGCTCCATTCCCAGTGGAGGGCGACTAACAAGCCAACTGACTGGTCCACAAGGCTCCAGCAGTTACCCAGGGACCTGATCAGAGTCAGTCTAGGACACTGAGGGAAAAGGGGCAGAAGCTAGATTTTTCAGAGAAAGCTGCAATTCCTGTGTTCCTATTAAAAACAGCACATCTGAAATGAAGTACCTTAATTCATGAACGAGGTGTGCAGTAATTCTTGTTCCAGATCCTCCCAACGGGTGACCCAAAGCAATGGCTCCTCCATTCACATTGGTCTTACTTGGATCAAGATCCAAACTCTTCTGAACAGCCAAGTACTGAGGAGCAAAAGCTTCATTCACCTTAGGAAAAAAAAAAAATGTAACAGTATAAGAGTCTTCATTCACAAACTTTTAACCAAATGGTCCAGTCCTACGGGGAATGAACTGTGCTATTTGTTTCTATGTAAATTACCTTATAATGATATTTGACATTATCTTTAATTGCTGTGGGTAAAGATACCAGGTCTTTCAAAAATGGAGAGGGAAGGAAGGAAGGAGGAAAGGAGAGAAAGCAAGCAAGGAGCTAGGGAGGGACGCAGGCAGACAGGCAGACAGAGAGAGGGAGAGAGAAAGAGATTGATTGATTTAATAATAGTTAATATAATCATGTTCAAGGTTATCTAGAATTACCTTCTTTTATAAAAGATGTCAGGTTTAAAAGCAGGCAGGTATAGTTCATAAATGATATTTTGCATCAAATATATTCCTTAAAGGAAATACCAGTAATCATATAAATGGGCACACACAAGAAGCAGGGAGATAACACAGATAGTCCATAGGTTTTAGCGTTGGATAAGTGGTACAAATCTTGGCTGAGTCATTTGTTCATGTGTGACCTTGAACATGCTAATAAAGCGCTCTTTATACACACATTTTCTCAGCTGTAAAATCTAACTATAGTATGAAGCTGACAGTCATTGTTAAATAAAATCATGGACAGTGTCTAGCATTTTACCTGACAGATAGCTTGTACTGCTCAGTACAAGCCATTCAAGTTGGTACACACCTCTAATCACAGCACTCAGGAGACTAAGGCAGGAAGATCCCTATGAGTTTGAGGCCTGCCGATGCCACACAGTTCAAAGCCAGTCTGAACCACACAGTGAGACCCTGTCTCAAAAAACTAAAAACTAACAATATTATTACCTAGAACTAAATATTATTACCTCAAACAACAAGAGCTATCCTTCGAAAAGGACACTGACAATCAACAAAGAATAAACCTTCAGAACTGGAGACATAAACAGAATGGTTACTATGTTCAAATGAGGCAGAAAGGCAAAGCGTTATATTGTTATGTTAATACTTACCAAGACTGGCTATAAGAATTGCCTTGCTTCATGAACAGTCCTATATTTTCATACTAACTTAGTTCAGGAATTTTATAAAGAAACTAATTCTGAGAAAGGTAACATTTACATTTGGGCTAAACTTCAGTCTTGTTCTCTTCATTACTATACTTTTGTAGTTTCCAAAATTATTTGTCCTTAGGTCCAACATTGTTTGTTTTATATCATTATACTCAAAGAGGTACTGTTGTAAGAGACTTAGGATATGTTATGCAGAATAATGTTCTGAACTAGGTAAATTATGCTGTCCTTGAGTATCTACATATCTAGAAATGACAATGGACAACTTTTCAAAGGTTAAGTTCAATGTTGAACGTTATGAGGAAATTTGATTAGACTCTCATCAGTTTGGTTTTGTGACCAGAACTGTGGAAAGAATTGAGCTGTGAACTAAGGCACCACTATACTGCATGATAATTGAGCAGCCCTTTTGAGTTTGTGAACTATAAGCTACCAAGAATGAAGATTTACAGATAAACCATTTTTCATCTGACACCTTGGTTTCCTGGGTAAGAGATTACTAGAGAAAACCACTTAATACCTACCCCTTCTCTATCATTTAAATAGATTTGTTGGTCATATTAGTTATTTTTCCAAAGTGAAATGTAGTTATTTTCTTCTCTGTCCCTTCTTTTAATTATGATAAATGCTTAAGACATTTTTGTTCTAATATTAGTATTTTAAATAATTGTTCTATTGGCTGGAAGTGTAGCTCAGCAGTAGAATGTGTGCATGAGTCTATCCACAGGACTACACTCACACAGGGACATATACACACAAACACTCAATCAGGAAATTTAAATTCCCAGTGTTGGGGCCAGAGAGATGGCTCAGTAGAATAAGCGCTTGGCTGGCAAGTGCAAGGGCCTGAGTTCAATCCCTGGTTTTGCAAAAAAAAAAAACATCCCCAGTGTCTTCTATCAAACAAGTATGGTGTAAATGCCAAAGATAGGGCTGAGGAAGCCTCAATTTGGGGGAAAGGGCAAGAAACTTGACTTGGTACTACGTCAGTTCTTTTACCTGTATTTTTTTCATTTAAAATGGGATTACGGTTACTTATTCCTCTCCCACCTTCTGTAATACTCAATTCAATAAGCATATCAACGTTCTAAAATATAACAGAATTCTCCATAGTCCCTGGATGTTCCCAGGACTTTATACTTCCATAGGAGGTTGTTTAAGTTATTCAAATATTCAGTTATTCAAATATAAGTTGAGCATTTTAATCAGGTGTGGAAAAGTACTAGCGCAAGGCGTGTGATTTTCATGGAGATGTAAATTCTTTGACAGGCTAATGCACCAACTCAAAGAGTTGCAAAATACTAAGCTAAAGCCCATAATGCTGTGGAAGTAGGCGGCTCATGCCTGTGTAGAAATAGAACACTCACCTCTACCAAATCCATGTCCTTGAGACTCAGTCCTGTTTTCTTTAGTGCCCCACTGATGGCAGGAACAGGACCTACGTAAGAACAAGATTCTCTTTTAGAAATCAACATCACCTTATTTATATGTCAAACTTTTTCTTGACTTAACAAATAAGAAATAATGTGACAGAGCAGCTGCCTCTTGCTGCCTCATCACCATGTGTTAAATAATGTGAGAATGACGAAACAGAAAATGGGAGCATGGTGAAAGGCTGTCTGACTCTGCAGACTTCTATGGAAAGATCTACCATACATGGCTTTAGGGTTCCAAACATCCAAAGAAGTCACTGGCGGGGTTTACAGTCAGGTATAGCTCACGCCTGATCTCAAACAGCTGGGCACAAGGTGCGCCTGCACACTCATGGAGGCAGCTTTCAGAGACCCATCTGTGAAAGACACGAGACACAGAAGCGGCCCCTCCACAGAAGCCAGCACACAGGGACTCCAAGACACTCCCGGGGAAGACAGGCGAAGCAGGGAAGCAGTCCTAACTCCAGCCGGAGACAGAGGAGTCAGAGAGAACGCGATCCCTGACTCAAGAAATGAAAAGCTGCCTTATGAAACTTCTGATGTTAACTTTAACGTCCACATTTCTGACAATGACCAGTAAAAGTTTAATATTGATGATTTGTAAATGAATCCATGTTTTTTTCCAAAAGGTAAAAACATCTCACTAGAGAAGATTCTCATCTATTCATCGAGCATGAAACTGCCATGCATGTCTATAAAGAAAAAAAATACAATATATTCTGTTGACTCCAAGTAGTCAAATTTATGCAACAACTTGCATAAATATATCTAAGGCAAGACACAAAGTGAATCTTTAAAAGAAAATACAATTCATTATAAATAGAATATTACAGTGCTCTTTGGACATGTTTGCTTATTGAGTAGGACTGTCCATTCAATGCCTTTTGATATAAAGCAGCATGCTATGTGGCTACTAATTTAATGTGGAATCCAATCCTAGATTCTCTGTACACACATCCAGACATAGAAACAGGATCGGTAGTAAACAGTAAAGCATCAGATACCCAGCATGGGCAGAGGACTGTCAGTCAGCTTCCCATCACTATAATGAAACACTTGAAGCCATATAAAAAGAAAAGGAGGCCGGATGTGGTCATTGAAGCCCTGTAACTGCAGCATTCAGAACGCTGAGGTAGGAGGATCATGGTGAGTTCAAGGCCAGCCTGGACTACGTAGTGAGACCCTGTCTCAAAAAAAAAAAAAAAAAAAAAAAGGTGCATCATCAATTTGTTTTTTTAGAGTTTGTAGCTCAGTACTGTTAGTACTAATTACTTTCTAAAGTACTTAATGATAGGTTATGGCCCTAGTAAGAATTGCTGAATTATTATGGTGGTCATCTATTATGGCTGAAGCCCTTAAAACAACAGCTCATCTTCCCAGAGACCACCTCCCCTCTTCTTCTCCAACTTGGCCCAGGGTACAGTTTCCTTTCACCTTTCTCTCCACCTCAGGGAAGGCCCCAATCAGCTCAGGTATATCTAAACTTCCCCCTCAAGCCCCACCCCTGGCAAAGGCCATAAAAGCCTCAGCCTCCTTTTGTTCCAATCCAGAGAATTCCTTATCTTCCCAAATTCTCTCCGTGTCCTCTAAGATAATGAAGTCCCTTTTCCTTTATAATAAAGCCCCTTTCCCCTTTCCTTCTGCGTGTTTCTCTGCTGCAACACCATTAAAACCTATCACTTAATACTTCTCTATGTATCTTAATAGTGAAGAAAAGTAGTACACTACTATAGTACTAATAAGGTACTGTATTCACAGTTCTGTCTTCAGAAACATCAATAAGCCTCAGTTAGCTCATGTTAACTCATGGTCCCTACAATCAAGTATAACAGTATGCTGGGCTGTAATTTAACTGTTCTTAGACCAGTCTACTTACTATGACTCAGGAAGGTTTTATTTTTTTATTTTTTCTGTATTTTAGGGAAGTTCAGGGTCTCACTACTAGATCGGACTCATAGTGATCCTCCTGTTTACAGCCTCCCAAGTGCTGGGATTATAGGCACGCCACCACACCCAGTCTCAGTTGCTCTCTCAGGGTGCGCTGGGGGTGGGGCCAGCACAACAGGCCTAGGGATCAAGCAGGCCCCTGTGCCTGCTTTCAGGAGCTTTAATCCACTGAGCTATTTGGCTAGTCCTGCTTTTGTATTTTTATTTTTTAAATTTTTTTATTTTTAATTTTTTTTTATTTCTTTGTGTGTGTGTGTGTGTGTGTGTGTGTGTGTGTGTGTGTGTGTGGTCAGCTCAGCCCACTAGGGGGCAGGGCTGGCTGGCATATGGTGCTGGGGGATTGAACCATGGTCCCTGTGTTTTGCTAAGCTTGTTCTAAGTAGGTGCTTTAGACCACTGAGCCATCTCACCAGCCCCAAGTTTATTTATTTTGTTTTTTCGGAACTGGGGATTGAACTCAGGCCCTTGGCTTGCCAGGGAAGCGCTTATTCCACTGAGCCATCTCCCGGGCCCAAATATAGTTCAGTCTATTCTTTTTTTTTTTTTTTTTTTGGCTGAACCGGGAATTGAACTCAGGCCCTTGTGCTTACCAGGGAAGCACTTACTCCACTGAGCCATCTCCCCGGCCCTTGTATTTTTAAAATTAGACCTTGTTTCTAGTCCTGGCTTCTGCCATTAACAGGTGTAACTTTGGGCGTTTTTTGGGCTTCGAAGTTCAATTAAAAGATGCTTTGAGTTGGTTGCAAACCTTTGTCTTTTTAAGTACTGGAATTCTTTCTACGGATGAAGCTGCAAAAGGACAAAGCCAGAGCAGCTCAAGCTCAGAGGCTGACAGTTCCAGCCACCCACTTTGACCTCTGCCTTCCCCAAGGCTCTAGGCAGCAGGGCCTTTCTGGAACTGTGCACTTCCTTGGAGCCCTCATTGTTTTCTTCAGGTCCTGGCTTCCCATTCCTGGGTCTGCAGCTATTATGAGTGTCACAGACTGCTACATGGTAGGTGTCTGCAGAACCTAATGTTGCAGGCAGCTGAGTTAGATAGAAATATTATAGGCAGTTAGACAGGGCCAGGCCCTCAAGGAGACAAGATGGAAGACAAGGTGACTTTGCAACTTGGAAGAGACAGACACTCCCATATGGACCACACCTCAAGACCAAGACAAAAAGAGGAAGCACAGCTACATACTTCCCTAGGGATAGGCATTAGGGATTGATACACTAAATAGTATCAATCAGCTTGAAAGAGCCCAAATGAGTCACTAGCCCAACCTCCAACAGGAAGAGACCCTGTTCCCTATTCGTGCCCACTTGCTATGTGACTTGCTTTTCCATTTGTTACTGGATTTAATCAATTTTACCTGAGCAATGGTGCTTGTAATCTCATTGGTTGACCATAGTTTTGTCCCACCTTATGCCCAACTAAGCAAGTTTCCATGTCTTCTTCACCACCTTAGACCCGCCTCACCACATGGTTTTCCTCTATAAAAGGCCCTGCAAGACACAACTTGGGGTGGGCTCAGGCCCCCCTCCTGTCCCTCTCTTGGACAGGAGCTTTCTTTCCCTCAATAAATATATTCTGCTCATAACCTCCGTTTGTTCCTAAAATTCATTCTTTGGTTTTAGAGGACACGAACTCATGCAGGTCAGGTGCAGAGATCATTTTTCTCTATGTCATTTGGAGGTTCCCTATATGGTTTGGAGGTCACCCACCCGAGACCAGTTTTTCTCCCTCTATCACTAAGATTACTGCTCTTACAAACTGGATTTCTAAATCAGTCCCTGGTAGATGCTCCATAACCTACTCTTCCTGCTTGTTTACCTGGGGTACCTCTCTAGGTGCCTTACTTAATTAACTCCTCGCTACCAGTGACAGCCAAGTGTCTACACAAAGGAGACATCCGACACTGATGTACTTAGAATGTATAGCTCTGCTCAAACCCTGGAGAAAAAAGACACTCCTCCCACAGTGGCATTCATTGTACTTTAGCACACTAAACAGGCCTGGGGAAAGATGGGGGAAAATGCTATTTTCTTTGCTCACCAGCTAATGCTAACCTATGAGAACTCATTAAGTGAGGGCGAACTGAAAAACAACTATAAAGTAACTACTCATCAAAATCATACAAATGTGGTGGATCATCGAAGCACGTAGGCACACTGAAGAAGACCCAATTCCTGGGCTCCCTTACAGATGTGCTAGAACAAAATCTTAGTGAGGTGGGGCTGTGGGCAGCTTCTGGATGTTACCTACAATGGGAACCACAGCTCTGAGTCCCAAAATAATAAATGCCGTCTCAATACACAGTTATTTCAGTTTTCAAGCTACCTTCTAAGATAAAGGCTCTATTTTGCCAGCTACTCTATTTTGAGTAGTTGAATAGTACTAAGCTTTTAAGACTACAATAGAAAAATATTGACTTTTAGCAGATGTTCAATTATCTTGCAGCTTTTGCTGACATAATTTAAGGAAGAACAAGATATGAACATACCGGCTTTCTTCAGAATTCTATACAGAGATCAGTGATCTCTGAGATGCATGGCATGAAATACAGCTGGGTAATAACTTAATCCCAAGTCAGTGTATGTAGTAATATTTGAGTAACACATCAGGTTTATACTGAAAGTCTCTGAGATGTAAGTTAAGAAACATATTACCCTGCTTCCACCTTGGGGTGCACCTGAAAATCCAAGTCAGTCAGTCACTCAGTCAGTTGTTTAGAAAAGGGATAAACTCATAGAAAAATCTTTGCTGAATCTGAAATCTATACCTAGGAACAGGTTTTCCCATGGGGTATGAGGTGATAGCTGAGGTAAATCAAAGCCTCAGAACATCAGTTTTATTTCTGAAAGGGAGGCACCTAATTGACTCCCTGTTCTCCCATGGAGAGGTGGTAAGAGCTACTGAAATCTATACCATCTAGCTAGATGTCATGACCCACTCCTATAATCCTAGTTACTTAGGAGGATGAGACAGGAGGATTGTGAATCTCAGTCCTGGGCAACTCAGGTCAGTCTGGGCAACTCTGAGAAATCCTGTTTCAAAACACAATTTTAAAAAGGTCAGGGTATAGCTTAGTGGTTGAGCAGTGGCCTAGCATGTGTGAGGCCCTGGGTTCAAGTCCCAGTACTTGATAAAACATTGTATCATTTGCAGTTCCTATGCCTGCATCCAGCAAAACCTCTTCTATTTCTAATTCATTACTGTCAAGCCAAGACTATAAGCATTTGTAGGGAACTCCAAATTTCCTCCAGCTAGTGCACCTATACCTAGAAACTTCTTATACATCTTCATCTTACTAATAACCCTAGCTGAACCATGGGAGAATTACTCTGACTTCCAGGGAGAATGTGCTTAACTCACTGTGCAAAGGACACTTTAATTACAGAGACCTGGATTCGCCTCCTGACTCCACTGCTCACCGGTCTGGAACCTCACAAGGCCTCTTTCCTCCTCTTCAATTTTCTAAAGTCTCAGTGTAGTGGTGAGCTGGGAAGACTGAGTGAGAGCCACCAGCCGGTATGCAAACGGCCCTGGTGTGCAGGGCTGCCCTCTCCAAGCAGCCTTCTCGCTCACCCCAAGGCTGTGCCCGTCACAGAATTTCTTTCATCCTGTCAGCACCATGCAACTCTCTGTTCTTTTCTGTGTGTTAATTTTTAAATATCTCAAGTCGACAATAAGACATGATTGTTGCCCTCAGGAAGTATGCATAGTCTTGGTTTTCCTAAAAAGATAATTTTCCAAATGACTGCTTGGCCATCTTCCTTTCTCACAAGCCACCTTTTCAGGAATTTGAATTCCAAAGACCAATCTCCAGAAATACAGCAGAATCAGTGCCTTTCCTTATGAACTTACCAATACCCATGATAGATGGATCACATCCAGACACAAAGTAGCCCACGATTCTTGCCAGTGGTGTGAAGTTATGTTTTTTAACAGCATCTTCACTAGCTATGATAATAGCTCCAGCACCATCTGATACGCCCTTGAAAACAAAACCATCAGACATGTGAACTAGTAAAATAATCCAGTTAAAGTTTGAATGTAGTATTTAGTTTTTCTTTGGCAGTACTGGAGTTTGAACTCACACATGCTAGACAAGCACTCTACCACTAAACTACATCCCTAGCCCTTTTTGTTTTGAGTTATTATCACTAACATGCCTAAGCAGGGCTTACACTTGCAATTCTCCTGCCTCAGCCTCTGAGTAGCTGGGATTACAGGCATGTGCTCCTGTGCTTGGATGGAATAGAATTAGGAATAGCTGGGTACACAGGAAGTCGTGGCATAATTCTTGATACAATTTGTAATACTGTGGTTATTGTGGGGTTTACTTTAGGCTCAGAACACAACATCACTAAGGGACAATAGGAAAGGATGTCACTCACAGTAAAGCTTCTAGAAGGTTTTTTTTTTGAGGCCAGAAGATGCCTTGGGGCATTTCTTTTTCTTTTTTTTTAATTTATTTATGTATGTATGTGTGTGTGTGTGTGTGTGTGTGTGTGGCCAGCTCAGCCCACCAGGGGGCGGGCTGGCTGGCATGTGGTGCTGGGGAATTGAACTGCGGTCCCTGTGCTTTGCTAAGCTAGTTCTAAGTAGGTGCTTTAGACCACTGAGCCATCTCACCAGCCCTGGGGCATCTTGTTTGCTGTGAGTATTTGGGTTCGAACCACAGCAGCTTGAGCTTGAGTGCTTTGTTTAAGCAGGCACTTAAACTACTGAGCTAATGGGCAGGCCCCCCAGTAAAGCTTCTAGATAGGTGCAGATAGGCATAAAAAGAAATCTGATGAGTTATATACATATAAAAGAAGAAACCTGAAAAATAAAATAATAAACCAGGAAGATTTCCTTCTGATATTTTGAAAAGATTAAGAATTAGAAGACTATCAGGCCTGTAGCTAAAGTATTTTGGGTTGATTTAGTAAGTCCAAATTAACTGAATAAGAGGGCTCTAGCTTATGCTACATAACTAGAAGGGCCTCCGAGTTCATTTTGCGTGGAACACAGCGGGAAGAGTTCGAGGCAATCTGGAGTGACACTAACCGATGCATTCCCCGCGGTGACTGTCCCTTCCTTCTTGAACACTGGAGGAAGTTTCTGTAACTGCTCCATGGTGGTCTGGGGCCGAGCATGCTCATCCACCTGCATCATCTGTTTTCCTTTCTTTGTCTTCACTTCAATGGGCGCCATTTCTTCATTAAAGTGGCCAGCATCATTAGCTGAAATAGAAGAAAGCCTATCATAAGGATGAAAACCAAAAAAGAAGAGAAACACGAAAGTAATCACACATACACTTCAATTTAATTTCTTTTAAAAAAAAAATTTATTTATTTATGTGTGTGTGTGTGTGGCCAGCTCAGGCCAGCAGGGAGCGGGGCTGACTGGCATGTGGTGCTGGGGGATCAAACCGGGGCCCCTGTGCTTTGCTAAGCTTGTTCTAAGTAGGTGCTTTAGACCACTGAGCCATCTCACCAGCCCCACACTTCACTTTAATTTCTGGTCTACCTTCTGCTTCTGTGAGCCTCTATCACTTACACCACTTGCCTGCCCTGCTGGAGGGTTTAACACACTGTCACACATCTATCAGATGCATCTTGTCCCTTATCGTCCTTTAATTTTGAAATGCGTGTCTTTTCTTATCAGACACCACTAGACTATGAGCAGTATCAATCAGTCTATTAGCTATAGATACAGTGGCACTAAATAGATTTAACTTCCTTCAGATGAGATAAGTTAATTAAAAAGTTACCGAGTTGCATATGCAAGTAATGTATAATTGAAATTTAATAATAATACACAACTTGAAAAATGGCAGGAGCTATCACCAACACAAGTATATACATAAAATATTACTTTGAACCTACACTAGAATGGACTATAGTAATCCACAGTTTCAAAAATAAAGTCAGAAATAATGCAATTTTGATTCTGATACCATTTTAAAGCATGTAAAATAATTCCCTTATGCCCATATTTGGTTTTAGAACAACCTTATTAGGTAAATAGGTAAAGCAAACATTTTAACCTCTATTTTATAGATATTCAGTAAATAAGTGACTAGGTCAGACCATCTACAGTTAGAAGAATTAAAAACACAACTGACTGACAAGCATAAAGTCCAGAGTTCAATCCCTACTTCCACAAAAACAAAAACACAACTGATAACACCCAACTCTAGATCAATACTGTTCTACTAGGAAAAAAAACCCTACAAAATACACATGAGCTAAATGGCATCAGCTCCAATTCACTTTCCCTCTGAAATATAAGATGGGCTACAACTTCATTACTTCAACTATATGATACCCTAACCAAGAGTTTCCATTTGCCTATCAAAACTTTAAAAAGGCTTTTCAGAAGACAATGAATTCTTCCATCTTGCTATATTGATGAGCCAACTACCGTAATGTTGCTCATTCTGGACTCAAGGGCGCTGCTGCCCTGGTTCTGGACTAGGTGTAAGGGTTTCAACTGGGGATGGGAGGCGGTGTAGAAGGACCCCCGTGGTCTTTCCAAACACCTTACCTCTCCCGGTGATCACAGGATGGCTCCTGAGAAGGGGCACCCTCTGTGCCACCAGTGACAGCGAGCAGCCACCTGCAATGGTGTAAGCTGCGTGCCACAGCATGCCTACTGACAAGAGGCAGCTCAGGACTAAAGTCAAGTGTCCACCCAGGGCCCGGGAACAATGCCACTTTTAAGCGGTATTAACTTCTTTTAAAAGAGAAATTGTCAGTTAACTTTGCAATATTAGAATATCTGATCACCTGAAAACAAAGAAATAATATAAAAAGGTGATTTTTCAAAGGTATGAGTTAAACTATTATCATATGTCATTATAATCGTGTGTGCGTGCGTGTGTGCGTGTGTGTGTGTGTGTGTGTGTGTGTGTGTGTGTCTATATATGCTACTGGGAACTGAAGCCAGGACCTTTGCACTGGCCTACATCCTTGGCCCTTTCTAATTTTGAGATGGAATTTCATGAAGTCAGTAAGTTGCCCTGGCTGGGCCTGAATTTGTGATCCTTCTGCCTTATGCTCCCAGACAGTTAGGATTATAGGTGTATGCACCATGCCTTGGCATCACTGTAATTTTAGAGGGTGAATATCTTTCCCATTTTTGTTTTTCTGTGTGTGCAGATGTTCATAGTCATCCAGTTTCACTGACCAGCTTTCCATCTCTGCTGTGACTGCAGGGCATATTTGTCACAATCTTCTCTGCTGATTTTATGTTGTACTGCAAGATTTTCTGCAGTAAGTGCCATGGTGAGTTTAACATGTGGATCTGTTAATCCTTCCCACAGAGTATCTTCCAGCTAAAAAGACATCAGTAAAAGTGATTTGTTAAATCATCTTTTGAAATTAAAATGTTATATCTTTAAATGACCAACAACTCTACCAAACATAGTAAAATGAGACTTTCTGATAACACTTGCTATCATTATTTTTATTTGGTGCTTGGATTAGATAAATTATTTAAAAACTCAAATGTCTGAAAATGTACACATTGTCTCTAAATATGAAACTCTAAAGAGAACCAGAAGTTAAGCATGAGTGGCAAGAACATCAGAAGTTATCCCACAATCAAAAACCAAATCCTCAAGATTATATTTTGTAAGAAACCCAACACTGAGTTCTTATGGAATGTTTTCTTTGTTTCTTTAATGTACTTGGCATAGGGTCTCACTACGCAGTGTGGACTCATAGTGATCCTCCTATTTTCAGCCTCCCTGTGCTGGGATTATAGGCGTGCACCACCAACCTGGACTCAATGGCCAACTCAGTGGGCTCGGGATCAGGGCCAGCGCAGCCTATGGTACCAGGGATGGAACCCTGGTCCCTGCGCTTGCCTAAGCAGGTGTTTAGTGCGCTGAGCTCTCTCACCTGCCCTGAATGTTTTCCTGTAGCCATCTCTGTAAAGTAATTGTGAATTCTATAAGAAAGAAATGACCTGTGCCCCTTTGTCATCTAAGGCTTTCTATGACAGGTAGCTACTACCAGGCAAAAAAGAACCCTGGGATAGGGTCCCTGTGTAACAGAAAGATTGCCAGCCATTATCTAAGTAGTTAGCATCTCTGATAAGAGTGTCCCATTGCTGCCTCATGAGAGCCATTGACCTGTCTTTGCAAAGGATTTCTTAAGTGTACTTAGTACGTAAAATATTGCTGAAATGCTCTTATTTTCTAAGTCTCATTCCTTCTAGGTTCCAAGAGAGTCAGGTGAGAAACAGAGCCAATGGTGTAAGCCAACCATTATTACAAGAAGATATTAAAAATCCTAACATGACATCAGTGGAAGAACATGTACTTTATCAGTACGTTCATCCTCAGGTCATAGCTCTCGAAGACGGAGGATTGGTTGCTGACTGATTTAGGATAATGTGATCTGTATTTAAAGACAGTTTTTCCTGTGATGAAGAAGAGACCTATTCAATGGAGACTGCCCAAAAGTATAGCTTCTTCAAACCATAGTAAAGATTTATTCAGAATCTTAGTTGTTGAGTACAGATTCGCTTACCTTTTGTGTATATATATATTTTTTTGCTTTAAACAATTTATTTAATTGAAATGGGCTTACATTTGTTTCTGAAGTGATTTCCATTTATTTTGATACATCTTTTCCCCATGATGATTTACAGGATCTTCAAGCCAATATAAGTATTTTATAAATATTTGAATATTTGGGTATACAACTGCACAATACTTCAGCAATATCTTTCAGCAAGAAAAACACTGAGGAGTAAAGACTAGACACAATTACTAGGTACAGTGAAAATCTGCTGCAAATATTTCTGAGGTAAGAAGGCACCAGATGCCTGTTCAACTAAGAAAACCACCCTTACAACACAGGATGATTCTATTTTTACGTAGGACCTAGAACACTTAAGCTGCCAATTAGGTACTGAATGACAGAGCAACGTCCCCAGTTTATGCCATGAATTCATAGGGAATGGGTTCCAACAACTCAGGTTCCTTCCCATTGGTCCTCACAAAGTGTGCTTCTCTGGGAGGAGCAGGCTGGCACTTCAGTTGAACCCAGGTACTTTTCTCTTTGGCTTTCTTCTTTTTCTGATCATTTTCCTTGACACGTTTCAGGAAGCTATCATGACTCTTTGCGTGTTTAATATGCTCAATACACACATTAATCCTCTTGGCAAGTATCTTGCCCTTAACTTGCTTGTTTACAACAATGCCAACAGTATGCTGGTTAACGTTGTAGGCTCTTCCTGTTTTGCCATGGTAACATTTGTGAGGCATTCTTTTTGCACAGTACCCCAATCCTTTGCTGTCTACAGTATCACCCTTTTTGTAGATTCGCATGTATGTGGTCAAAAAAAAAAAAAACAAACCATGTTATCTAAAAAGCTTGAAAAACATATACTGAGTTCCCCCCCTCTTGCCCTTTGTGTTGGTCATTTTGGCAAATACTGGAAGATGGTGGTTCTGGCTGAAAGCTTGTTTTGTTTTGAGTGACTAGGTCTCCCTATGTACTTCAGCCTAACCTTGAACTCACTATGTAGCTTGGCTGGCCTCTCACTGATCTTTTGGCCTCAGCCTCCCAAGTGCTAGGCATGCACCATTCACCACCACACCTGGTGCTCTTTGCCTTTTAGTCCACTTCTCTTGCTCTATATCTCCTGTACCTATACCTACTTTTATTTGTTAAATCTAATTCTGTGGGATTCAAATGTCAAAATCAACAACCAAAATAGAGTTCTGAGATAATTTGCAAATTTCAAATCATCACATTTAGCCAGCGTTTCATAAACAAAATTGGATTCAAACTTAGTTTTCCCTTCATTACAAAGTTATATTTTAAACATCATTCATATAATACTATAAGAAATAATTTTAAAAAATTGTAATGGCTCCAACCTTGAGATCGAATCCGAATCTGGTTCCAAAGCGTACGTTTCTGACACAGAAAGGCGCCTGGCTCATGCTTTCAGTTCCTCCACACAAGACGACTTCAGCATCTTTAACACAAATTTCCTGTTTAAAAACAAGGATATCAAAACATCCCATTTAGTATACCCAGCATATATTCAAAAGTACAAATATTTATCGCTTCTTGGCCTTTTGGCTAAGATCAAGTGTAGAAGTACAAATATTTTATAAATTAATGGCAATTCTAATAAATATATTGTAGCTTACAGTGTCTCAAAAGAAAATAAAGTACTTGTAAAGCTAATGTTACAGTATCCATTCCCAAGATAAAAGGGGAAAAACAAAACTGCTTCTTTGTAATATATCCTACCTCAGCCTACACTTTGACTAAGAAAGGTAACTGTTGTGTGTGTGTGGGGGGGGGTGCTGAGGACCAACAGGACTGAACCCACAGCCTAACACATAGCTAGATAGAGCTACATTCCTAGCTTTGTTTCTTTTCTTCTCTCTCTCTCTCTCTCTCTCTCTCTCTCTCTCTCTCTCTCTCTTTCTTTCTTTCTTTCTTTCTTTTGCAGAACCAGGGATTGAACTCAGACCCTTGTGCTTGCCAGGGAAGCACTTATTCTACTGAGCCATCTCCCCGGTCCCTCATTTTTTATTTTGAGACAAGATCTTGCCAAATTGTTCAGGCTGGTCATGACCTTATAATCTGTCTCAGCTTTCCAAGTAGGTGGGATTACAGACACGCACCACTGATCCCAGTTTAAGGTATTAATTTCTAACTCAATATAAATCTTAAAATCTGTAGAGATTTTTATCTGGCATAAATGTACAATAGATAATAAAGGACAAGCTTATTAAAAAGGCAAAAGAAAAATTTATCCTATTAAATTTATCCTGCACCTGCAGGATCCCGGAAATCTATAAGGAACTAGGTCAATCTGAGGGCTTTAGAAGAAAGTAACTATTTCATTTTGCAACTCTTCCTGCTACTTGTATTTCTCAACAATCAACAAGCCTCTGATGTTTAAAAAAATTTTTTGTGGGGCCAGGGAGATAACTCAATAGAATAAGCACTTCCCTGGCAAGCACAAGGGCCTGAGTTCAATCCCTGGTTCTGCAAAACAAAACAAAACAAAAAAACAAACAAAACACCATTTTGTATGTTTTTGAGAAAGGGTCTCACTATGTAGCCCAGGCTGGCCTTGAACTCGCTGTGATCCTCCTGCCTCAGCTGCCTGAGTGCTGGGATTACAGGGATTCACCAAGACTGATGTTTAAAATGAATGCTAGGAAAATGTATATATTTTTATAAATATTAATGTGAAAACAATCTGTTCATTATGATGTATATGGGTCTCTTGTTCATTTTGTAAGGCAAAGAGTTTTATAAATAAAACTGGATTTTACTATACTCCTGTGCTCAAAGAAATACACGTATTTACTTTACTGTCATTTAAAGAGAACATACTAGTTTGTACTTTTATAAAAGTAGTATTCAGCTCCTTTATAATAAAAAGTATTTTCAAGAACATTCTTAAATTCTTCAACTCTCCTCTCTTACTGTTTTTATTCAGTATTCATGAACTGGGGTTCAAATTCTGTCTCTATGATTTAGTAAGGTTAATGTGCTTAACAATCAGTTTGCTTGACCAATAAAAATGGGAAAAATAATATATTTTTGTCTCACATGTTGGTCGTGAAATTTAATCTAGATAGTGATCGTAAATCAAGCCCATTGTGTGGTAACAGGAAGCACTCCCAGCTGCTTGGTTCAGTAGCACTGAGCACACACTGCGGTGCAATCACTCTTACCATTCATCTCCGGGTTTACTTTCATCTCACAAAACGAAAATGCCATCCCCCGCCACTCAACATGAGCCTCCCTTTCTCCCCTCCCCCAGTCCCTGGAAACTAGGGCTATACTTTGTGCTATGAGTCTGACTTTTACTACCTTGTGAAAGTGGAATCACATAGCATTTGTCCTTTTATGATAAGCTATTCCACTCGAAGCTTCTATTTCAATTGTATCAAATATTTTTCCAAGAAAAGTCAAATTTCTTCTTGTCTAACAGGCACTATAAAAATCAAAAAAGCTAAAATGTTCTACCAAAGTGAGCACTTATCCTAGTAACTCTTAACATAATGTGCAGAGAATTAAATAAAATGGTGCCCATACCTGACATCCGTTCACAATGGACTGGAAGCCAGAGCCACAGAGCCTATTAACAGTGAGTGCCGGGGTTTCTTTTCGGACTCCCACTCGTAAACCAACATGCCTTGCCATGTATATAGCATCTGAAGAAGTCTGGACCAGCGAGGGAAAAGAAGAGTGATTTACTCTTTGCGTTCAGTCATTAAGAATAAGCACAGACTCAGTGTCCCCTAGCACCACCTGAACATCAAGTAGGCTGCTGGCAGCACGAAGATCTGGACTTCAGAGCTTGCATTTGACCACTGCTGTGAGGCAAAACTCCCCAAGCCCTAGGAATCCAAGTGTGGCCAGCGGTGATGTGCTGGACAGATACAGAGAGGCCTCTGGAAAGCTACATGGCCACAGACATCGCAGCAGAGTAGGGATCGCCTTCCCTTGTAAAGTCTTAATGGTACAGCAAGAACCAAAATGTGTGTGTGAGAACACTCTGCAATTGATCCTGTAGAGAAAATAATTGAACTTAAGTCTACTAATACTGCATTTACAAATATGGTTTCAGTAGATGAGAGCCTTATATACAAACCACATCCTCAGGACCCTCCAAAAAATATTTAGGCTCAGGAAACCATGATGAGAGTGAAAGGAATCAGCCTCAGCACTTACCTTGAAGGACGGATGGCAAGCATGGTATCGTCAAATGCTAGTAAAGGCAGAGAAGCACTGGAATGGGCAGCATATAAGTTAAATGCTGAGACTGAAGAACTGGCAGCTTTGGCCAGGGGAAGCATGAGGACACTGATGGCGGTGGCAGCGTTTACGAGAAATGGTAAAGGAAGTTGTTACACAGGCACCGGGTCTCTCCAAGCCAACTATA